ATGCTCAGCCCGGGTCAACAGACACGCACTCAGTCTGCTCCAGCTACCGCCTGACAATAGCCGTGTGGGCACAGCGGGGGGTGGGGGGCCAGGCTAGCGCCGAGTGCGCCCCCAGGGGCCAGGCAGGGCTGTACTCCGGTGACTAGCCTGAGCTCCCGCGGCCACGCGGCTGTTTTTAGCACCAGGCCGTCTGTCTGTCCCCGCTGGGAATGACCCCTCCCGGCCGCTGTGTAGACGTGCCCGGCCAGATACGGACACACCGCAATCGGCACCCGCATCTCCCTGCCAATACACCACCAAGCTGTCCCTGTGAGCTCCCGCCCCGTACACACAGCTCTCTGGGTGGAGTGCAGGGAGATTGTCAGCACCTTCGGCGGCAGCCCTGCGCCAGTCAGTGGGGCTGGGAGCTTTTCACACCAGGGCCAGAGATTCGTTTGTTCTGGTTTGTTCCTCCCCGGCTCAAACGGCTGCCGGGATCCTGCCCAGACGTTACACGAGTCACCTCAGGGGCCAAACCTCACAGGAACTTTAGCAAAGGTGTAGAATGAAACCCCTTGTGCAGCCGTAAAAACAGCGTGTGCAGCATTGCCCACAGCAGCCTGGGGCAGGGATGTTGCCCCTTTACCCCAAGGAGGGAAGGATTCCCTGGGATTTAAGGGCCAGCTGATGATCCCCTCGTCAGGGTGGGTAGCAGAGCTAGAGTCACCTGTCAGCAGGTTCCCCTGGGCTCGGCCGTTACAAGCACATTACGAGCCCTGGGGGATTCCTGGCCCAGTCCTGGTGCTTCCTTGTTTGGGTGCGTGGGATTTAAATGTTTTCACACCTCAGCTCGGAGAGAACCAAGAGCCGGGACATGGGCATCTCGTGTGAGATCAGCCCTGTCTGTCCCCACCCACCCCCTTTCCCAGCGACGCCTGAGTCGGTTCCCTGGAGAAACGTTAAATTCTCCCCTTTACCAGCTAGCGTGGGACATATCTCTGCTCTCCACACTCCCTCACCATCAGCGCCCAGGGTGGACAGCACCTGACCATGCTGGCAGCCTGGTTCTCTGGCCTGGGGAGGGAAGAGCTAACAAACAGCTCAGAGGCATGGGGGGCTGTTTCCCAGATACCCAGCCTGGAGCAGTTACAGCCAGGTCTGAGCTCGGTATGTCCCAGGATTCCCGGGGCAGGCAGCGAGCTCTGGGGCCCCCCAGAACCCAGCACCCACCTGGGTGAGGTCATGGGGTGGTTTCTCCCCCTCTCGGGGCAGGGTCTGTTCTGTGGATGGCAGGGCTGGGCAGTGTGGGGAGCAGAGGTGGGTCAGCTCCCAGGGACTGAGCCTGGTGTATTCACAGGGTCCCCAGGCAGGGGCCTCATTCCCGTTCTGTTCCTCCCTCCAGGTGGCCCGCTTCTGGATGGAGACATGGCCATTTTTTGACCGTCGTGCACTCACGCTACGGCCGGTGCTGGGGAGAGAGAGAGAGCCAGCTGCAAACTGCTTGGAGAGGAGAGAACAAACTGACCCCTTGTGATGCTGTGTGATTGACATGTGACTGTGTACAGCCTTGGTGTGGCCACTGTGCTCCAACTGCAAGAGAACTTGTACCACGTACGTCAGGTCCGGTGTCACTGGAAAAGTTGCGAATTGCTAAGTATGGATATCCTGCTTATATGTGTACCACCCCCCCGCCCCCGTCCACTGGCCCAGTGTGAGGTTGTTCCAGATAGGGGAAGCCTCTTTGTGACCTTTTACACAACTTTAGGGGACTGGGCCTGAGGCTCCTTTGTGTGCTCTGCGTTGTGTGTCAGTGTGTTCACCTCAGCCCAGACCCACGCAGACAAACCACCAGAGAGCGCGACCGCACTGTCCCTTTAAGGCGCTTTAAGCTGCTAAGTGTCGACTCAGGCTACGGCTACACGAGAGAGTTCAAAGCGCTGCCACCTGAGTGCTCCCGCAGCAGCACTTTGATGTGCGAGTGGGGTTGTGCGCGAGACAGCTCTCCCAGCGCTCCTCGTAATCCACCTCCACGAGGGGAGTCGCTCCGAGCGCCGGGAGCCTGTCTACACTAGCGACTTTAAAGCGCTCAGACTTGCTGCGCTCAGGGGGGTGATTTTTCACCCCCCTGAGCAGCGGCGGCTCCAGGCACCAGCGCCCCAAGCGCATGCCTGGGGCAGCAAGCCGTGGGGGGCGGCCTGCCGGTCCCTGC